ACAGTAAAAAAAAAAATCTTGGAAAGAAAACTACATGTAGTTGACTCTGGTGGTGCGTTCAGCCACGGTTATTGATTCAGCAGCTGTGTATGCGTCAGATGGCCATAGCGTGTCATTGATTACAAACAAGCGTCTACCCATGAGCATTTTTAGCATGTGTTGATATCGTCGCTTGGGATTAAATTCCCACGTGTACGCAGGTGGACCCTCTCGCTTTAAAAGTACACTCTATCAAATATGTTTACAATAGACTAGGTAGTTCAGGTACCACTGTGTTGAAGTACTGTGGCGTAGACTTATTTTTGTTTGAAAATCGCTGAATAAAAATATTGTATTATTATTTACTTACCGGTACATGTTAAATTCTCTTGTTCACTCTATTAACTCCAAGATGTATCAAATTTATTCAAATCCTGGTATACTATGCAAGTTTTTGTTTTGAAATTTGTCGATCATAAAACATGACTATTATTTTCCTAGATTTTGTATATGCATGATGCAGCTTGTTGTAGAATTTTTTAACATAATCTTGTAGCGATGAATTTTCAAAACCATATTTGAATCCCAAGAAACCTTACATCAAAGAAAAGACTGCAGTAGCCCATTTTTGTATTCTCTAGCATCTTTAGTTCAACCATTTTCTTATTATGTTACTATTGGTGTTATTCCACTCAACTCCGTAACAAACACGATTAAGCTGACAATAATTATTATGAAGAAAGAATCAAGTTATTACCTTCTATCGCATGCTCCTCTACAGAGGGTAGCTTAGCGTAGGATCCTGTTATTTGGCGTGGTTTTCCGAGATCACCGGCTGTACGGGATATCAAGTCCAACACTTCACAATCATCGTCATCTAAAACTGAAAACGTTAAAAACAAAACAAATTATAATATCAAGTGATATAATCCAAGCTATTAAAGAATAGTGTCATTTAGATTCATGTACAATTTAGTTGCTAGTGTCTTTGAATAATTATACCGTATTAGCTCTACTAGTAGCATATACACTTATATAAATTACAGCCGTTTTCTGGTCAAAATGAGTAATTTTAATTATTTTTTATTATATTAATTATTTTGCATACAATAAATACAATTTCTGGTTTACACATGCTTCTAATAAAGATGCACTTCTAATAGAGTAAATATGGTGCATCCTAATCATAATTCATTCACATTATGCAGTATCTAATACAATGTACCACAAAATATTCAAATTTATGCAGACCAACTTTTTTTTTTTACCTGTTGATTTTTTTCCTATACTCTTGACATACTCAGCCCTGGGATGTGGTTGCCTTTCCTCTTCAGGATTTGGTAATGCTGGATGTTCTGTCAATTCAGTTGCCTAGGTAATGTGACAAAAACAATATTCATAACAAATATCTAGTGGGGTTTTCAATAATTTGAGAATTAAAAAATCTTTTAGATCTTTTCAAAGGATTTTACATTATGAAGTCTCTTTAATGGTACATTTACTAAAGATTTACAAGGCATGATGGGTAATACCTGGTCGGGTGTAAAATGAGTGAGAGCAGCTTTTCTTTCACTATCCCTTACATCACGGTCATCTGCAATTAAGTGTAGAAAAAACAGAAAATGTTATTATAAAGTATTGCAGCAGAATTTCTAACAATATATACATATTCATTGTTTTGCACAATTCAAAATTTATACAAATCAATCCGAATAGCTGTGTGACGGATCAACACTAGTCTTAAATAGTAGATAGAGGAAGTAAGTGCTATACTTGTCATAATTGACAAGCAAAGATGTAGATATCAAATAAGAATAGACCTTTAATAGTTGGAAGATTTATTGATTAATATTATAATTCAAGAATACCTACCTAGCTTCCTGAGGTTTGGTAGCATATGAACCAGAAATAATCTATAATCCGGTTCATCTTTAGTCACAGGATTTAATCTGAGATCTAATTCTTGTAAAGAAGTGTTAAATCGTAATCTGTAGAGCTCTTTTAAAGTTGGTATATTATTATAATATCTAGTTGCACATGTCAAGGAATATAATTTGATGACAAGTAAAAATGAATTGTTGCTCTGAACAAAGCAATCGAATAGTCCAACTAGGCCATCCATTGTGGCCGCGCATCAATAGCATACGGCGTCCAGTCTTTTGACGTTTGTTGATTAAGTGCTCAGGAAAGTGTCTGGGTATGTTGCAAAGTATCTCTCTGTATTTGCCTACCAGGTATGAGAGCTAGATGTATGTAAATATCTTGCACCCGCTGTAACGATTCAACATCAATGGTACAATTCAAGCAAATTTGAAAAGACTTTGAACAATATTACTCGCCATGATGACATCATATTGAACAATTCATGCAGATATTTGAAGACGTTTGCTATACCGGTAGTAGGTTATATTTGTTGACAGGTTGAATTTTGTTTCAATGTTTTAAAAGTCCAATGACAGGTAGTGATTAGTTGCATGACGGTCAATGAATTTATCAGGACTGGACGTTGCCAAAATTATGCAATGAAAATATGTAATAAATAAAGAAGCAGAGGTATGTGGTCAAACAGTATATCCTTCCTGGTGGCTTAGGTCAACTAAAAGGCAAGGGTCAACAATTACCATATGTGAACATGCTATGTTAATAGATATTCACTTTAGTACCCTTCAATTTTGGAACACAAAGAAAAACGTTATTGCCACCCCAGAAATAAATTCACAAAGAAATGCATGTTCTAAATTCCAGTGCTTTTTAAATGTGCGAGGGCATAACTTTAATTACAGGTGTGAAATCAGAAAAACCTCACAATTGACAGAGACTGATTCAATTTGAGATATAATGATTTCCCTTGTAATAACAATAACAGTAGATCAACATAATCAGCATAGGTTGTCCTTGATAAAGTTTGTAACTATGAGCTATAGTTTAACCATACACAAGGATACAGATTGAGTTTTTCTAATATCTTTAGATGATCAATTCCTTCCAGACTGATGAGAGCATTCCGGGATAAATCAAGATGTTTAAGGCGGCGAAAGTTACGGAATGCATGTCCAAGATATGTAATTTTTTCATGATATGTTCCCGGTAATGACAATGATCTGACATCATCTGTTGAGAAAAACAAAAATGTATTGAGTAGAAAATAAACGTGTTACTTATAAATATGACATTACATTGATATTACACTGACTTAAGAGTGACCTTACACTGACATTAGAGTGACCTTACACTGACATTAGAGTGACCTTACACTGACATTAGAGTGACCTTACACTGACATTACCAGTACATTGACATTACATTGACATTACACTGACCTTACACTGACATTAGTGACCTTACACTGACATTACAGTGACATTAACAGTACATTGACATTAGACTGACATTACACTGACATTAGACTGACATTACAGTGACCTTACACTGACATTAGAGTGACCTTACACTGACATTAACAGTACATTGACATTACATTGACATTACACTGACCTTACACTGACATTAGTGACCTTACACTGACATTACAGTGACATTAACAGTACATTGACATTAGACTGACATTACACTGACATTAGACTGACATTAGACTGACATTACAGTGACCTTACACTGACATTACCAGTACATTGACATTACACTTACCTTACACTGACATTACAGTGACCTTACACTGACATTACAGTGACCTTACACTGACATTAACAGTACATTGACATTACACTGACATTAGACTGACATTAGAGTGACCTTACACTGACATTACACTGCTATTACCGGTACATTGCATATCACATATTGTAAGTAAAGAGTGAAATCAGCACCAATTCCAGTCATAGTATGTGCAGTCCATTGAATTCTGTTGTGAAAACTCATCCCTGGGTATATGGTATTACCGGTATAGAATTACAATTTATTAAAATATGCAATTTACTATTTTCTAAATAAAGAATGAGATATTATCCAAAAACTTTCAGTTCAAAATTTCTCACAATAGCCATTTCAAATATGTGATTTGTATTAAAGCACTGTGCTATAATCAGATAACATAAATGATTCATGTTAAAAAAAATATAAGCATGTAGACAGAGCAGTGAACTAGTTCAACTCTTTGATTGGACAACAGCTGTGATTTATTTTAATATAACCACATCAAAATAAAATTGTTTCAGACACAATTGCATGGGCAAAGTGACCCTACACAGGGCTAAACATCAAATAAAATGCAATGCAAAAAATGAGGGTTGAGAAGTCCCCATTTTATTGAAATCAATCACGTGGCGGGGTAGTAGAAAATTATGAAGAATGTTGTACACTATTATGGGAAATGACAAAGGAAATGTTTTATTGATGATATCTGGAAAGCATTTTTTTATTAACAGTTGTTTGTGACAAATAGTATATTTTGAAATGAAAAAGGAATTCCTATATGGTAGTTGACCTACATTTTATTTCCTGATTTGTAACCAGGCGACTGAAAGGCAAACACTAATTAATTGAAATGTAATTAAAATATTTGTTCATACATACTAGTAATATACGGTAATCAATAATGTGCCACAGTATCTTTTTATATTCACAATAGACTGTATGCTTTTGCTTGCTTTTTAACACTAAACACCGGATCAGGATTACCGGTACTTCTACAATTGTCATTTATGTTTACAATGGACTTTTTCACACTGCAACCATGTCTACATGACTAACCTACACGTCTCTAGCAACAAGATTGTGCTTGACTTGAGCACTTTAATGCTGTCTAGAGTGATACCAAAGTACCCGGGTATTGAGCCATTGTCAGTTATTGGCATGTAGTGACTTGACTTCAATGGTGGGCATTGTTTACGCTAGTTGAGAAAACTTTTAAAGTTTTTAAATTTTTATAAACAGTCTGAAACTTTAAAATGAAAATGTTGGCATTTCTTGAATACTACACCATACTAAACTTCAAAAACAATACATCATAATAAATTAAATACTTAATATATCGTTTTGAAATTAAACAAATATATCGTTATTACGTGACCTAGATAGTCATCGCATCGTATTACTAACAACAATAAGTAACGCGGTAGCTAAGGAACAGTGAACTAAAAAGTTAAAAATTAAACAATTTTATGAAACAGAAAATAAATCACAGGTATTTATTTTGGAATGCGGCCAAGAACATTCCATTGACATATACTGTGGTTATAACTCATATGTCATGTAGTCAGGGTAACAGAAATTGAAACGTTGGTCAAAACTTTGTAAAGAATACGACAGAAAACATTCATCACTGTGCATGTTCAACTAATCGGTCTTGATTAGAAAAAATAATCATCACTGACAACAGTGTAAATGAAGTTACCAAGTGACAACCTTTGGGATTTGGTGTTTTTGTGTGTCAATCAAAATCATGTTCGTGTGTTGACGTTTACATAGTCCCGTTAGCTGCACCTGACACATAGATCAACTCAGTTCAAAAGGAGGACTAGTTGTTGACACACAAGCTGAGAAAACGTCAATACTCACCGTGATTGTCGTGTTTTAACTGAACTCTTTCGCAGATCCAATCCTCAGTTACGGTGAGCGCCATTTTTTCGAACGTTGAGTTACCTTGCTATAGCGGAAACACCTGAAACGTCGGATTACGCTATTAATGAGTAGGGGTGGCTAGTGCTTTCAAAATAAATTGTTCCCATCTTAGAAATAACGTCTAAAATTACGTTTCGTGCAATTTATATAAAATAATCTAATATAATACTGTATAGAAACAAAAATAGTGTATTTTCATTTATATTTTGCATAGAAAAAATTAAATCTAATTATGTACCTTTCCAGAAATGGTTTGTCTTGAATTGCATGCCGGGACTAGGGAATTCCTTAACCTTTAGCATTTCACCTTTGACATTAGACAGACCCAAACACAACACAATAATAATACAATACGTTGTTTCAACGTCTTATCGTTTTATCGGATTTATATATACAGATTGTTTTGTGAAAATGAACATCTTGCCTAAAAAAAGTTGGCATGTGCTTTCGAAAGACAACATAGAAAGGGTCAGACGTGACGAAGAAAAAGCAGCTGCCGAAGAAAAAGAGAAACAGAGACGAATAGCACTTGCGGTGAGTTAGCATGATTTCTGTCTAGTCTATAAAAGTTTCGCAGGTAACACGTTTCTTGCCAAAATGTTGGTGTAGTCATGGAGATGTACATTAATAAGATAATACCTCCACAATGTGATCAGTGTATCTGTCTGCCCCCAATACAATAACGCCCAATACAATACATGCCCCTCCCCTCTCCTTCTATAGTGGTGTTATAATACTAGTCCGAATGTTTTTGCTCCAAATCAACACAGTAACTCTATGCGCACACTAAAAAATACCATTATTATATTATTATACATGTAATAATGATACTTATTACAGTATTAACCTTTACACCACCAGTTTCCTCTTTTCATCACAAATTCACAAAATAGTCCTGATCATAGTATGCACTTCCTTTCAAAAGATTGGAACAAAAATAGCTAAATTTTTTGAGTGAAAAAAGAAAATTGTTGTCTGTTGACTCCAAAATTAGGGTTCATTTCCAGAAATGTTGAAGAATATGAGGAAAAAATTAGGGGTGGGGGAGAAAATCTGGTGGTGAAAAGGTTATAAATGAAATCTGTGGGTGTAAGAGAAGGGTATGGTAATATTCCAACGAAATGAAAATTTATTGAAAAAAAATACATGTAAGTTTAGTTTTAGATAGTTCAACATTCATTAGGTATTTGTGATCATCCCCGTTCTGCTTAATTTTTATACTAGGAACAAGAGGCAAGAACAGCACATTTAAGAGAAAAAGCCAGAAAACGACATGGGAGAGATGAACCAACAATGGTTGATGGTGCAGATAGTAGTATTGTTGCAACAACAGAAGCGACTGAACTCAGGCATCCAAATTTCTTCAGTGAAATTGAAGAAGGGGTAAATATAAAAATTGAGCCACACATATACATTGTGTGATCATGTACGAGTACACATTTACCAAAATAATAAATTTGAAAAATTAGAAGAAACAATATTTCAGCTTTTGTGTCAAGATTAATTAAATACTCATTTAGTTTTCACTGCAGGAAATTTCCACAATTTGTTTGTAATGGCATTCATGGAAACAAAATTTAACGAAAGTCACTGACACTCAAGTGTTGTAGGACCCTAGAGAAAATCATAGTGACATAGTTTGTCACTGTTTACAAGCTAATACAACTGGACACAATCACCTGTGATATATTTTGAAATTTGTTTATAATATTTAGAAAAAAACGGTAGGCGTCAATAAAGAACATGAAGAAGAGAAAAGAAAGGAAAAGGAGAAGTATGAAAAAAGTATTGGTTTGCTGACATATTTGGGACAAAGTTCCGCTGAAGCTAAAGGTAAGTGTTCAAAATGTATAACTAACCTGTCTCGATTAATATGTTTTCAGGTTATTAAAGTAGTTTCCTATTGTTAATTGATGTTAACTCAGAAATTTTGAAAATTAGCTACAAGTTAAAACATTACGGTAATTTACATGTGCATGCAGCAAAAACATGGCTTCTCCTAGAAGCCTCATTCTGAGTTTACCTGAAAGCCTTTTCCCACAGGAATCTGTGAGGGCTCTGACTTATGAAAAGAGTTCATGAAAAGAAACCCAATCTGATTAAAATCTGATGTAGGTATGTGGCTAAAATACAAATAAATATTATATAAAGGGTCATAAAAAAAAAAAAAAAAAAAATTGGAGCCTCATACTCATGAAAACTTATGAAAAGGGTCCATACAATATAAGGTACAAGATATGAAAACACTTGATTTCCTTGCATGATCAGCTGCAAAGTTATTACCAGTTGTTGTCTCTTACTTACCTTTCAGATGCAGAGCCATGGTATTTCAAGTCTCCTTCCAAGAGAAAGAAATGTGAAGAAGGAGAAGATGACAGGTAAGATACCAGTGTACCAATACAAGTGTCAGCAAGGTCATACATTTGTGATTAATATTACCCACTGTGTAAAATTCATTTGTGCTTGGATTTTTTTAAAAATGTTTTTGTGTCAGGTGACAGTTCTGGACATTGAATGTCACTGAATGTTGTCTCCCAACTTTTTTTTTTTTGCATGACGTGCAAAATTGCAATTGCTGACACATTTTTACCACAGAAGCCAAATTCATGTTTGGGACTACATGACAGGGCTGTGCAGCCATCTCCCTATCAAATGGCAATTCAATTCACTATCCTGGTGTGGCGCAGATTTCGGAATGTGACTGCATTGTGTGATTTTTTGTAGATTTCTGCAATCACATTATAAAATAAATAAATAACAAAGACAGGGCTTCAAGTGCTTCGGAGTTCTTCGAAGGTCTTTATTAAAGTGCCTGTGCAATGCCCACCCTCACGTTTCCCATTTTAGATCTGTGTCCCACTGAAATGGGCAGTTATTGATTTTTTTGCTGAAAATGATTACTCGTATCCAAGTAAATTTGGGATATTTCTCGTGTTGGCCACGCCCACCTATCCCGAAACGGTCGACTGTTTCCGGATTTCCGACTCTCGCCGAAAGTGCGTCACCAAATGCCAAACTGTGAGAGGAAGTCATACCCCTGAGCCGTAATAACACTGGTCATTCTGTATACTTTTAAACGATATACATTTTTCGGTCGGCGTTTTTTTTCTACTACTTTTTTTGTCTATTTTTTTTTGAGAGAGTTTTTAGATGTTGTGTTGTGGGCAGCTGCAGTGAAACGTATAGTCACAGTGTAAGTATTCACACGTTTCTAATCGATCTGAAGGTGCGACATCAGTGGAAGAAAGCCACTTAACCTTAGATTCCTTTTTTTGTGGAAAAACTGTTCTCGTCCATGAAAAAAACAACTAGGTTTAAAGAGAAACGCCGACAACATAAACCTGGCGCAACACTTTTGAAAGAAATAGATTCTGGACCATGATCACCGAGGCGGATTTCAGAAGAGAGAGAGACGTCCGGCAAGTGTTTCAAATGAGTTGACTTTTTTGCGATCCTGAATATCGTTTTAAGTAAAAGGTAGCAATAATTTTGACAGTGACACGAAAACGGAGCGTCGACAAACAGGAAATTACACAGCCCTTACACACTGCTAATTGTTTTCATTTTCGAAGGCTAAAAGTTTCTGAATTGTTTGGTGATTGGTGTTGAATGTCAAATTCACACCTCTGTTCTTTTTTTACCTCCATGCTTGCAGCTTGATCTGCGCACAGTCCC